TCTTTCGGCCGGCGATTTCGCATCTAGAAAGATATTTCAATGAGTTATGAGAACAAGGTATGGAGATGTGCACATGTTCTTTGCGGCATTCATGAATTCAACCAATATTTACTGAAAGTCTATTCTGTGCCAGGCTCTGTCATAGCATAAGGGAGTTAGCTGGTGAAAAAAACAGATAAGATCCTCTTCTCATAAAGCTCACATTCTGGTGTCATTTATATTAGTGAAAAACTGGAAACAATCTACACGTTTATAAGGGATTGAGGAGAAAAAATTACGGCGCAGGCTCTCAAGGCTTCAAGTCTCTAGCGGCCTTTCCCTGTTAACACTGAAAATAAAATCCAAACTTCTAACTATGATTTGGGTCCTGTCTAGCTTCAGGGCCTGCATCTTGCCTTCCCCCTTGTCTGCCTGGCTTCAGTTATACCGACCTCTTAAGGTTCTGGAAGACACTGGGTCTCTTCCCCCTCAGGGTCTTCAGACGTCCTACTTCCTCTCTCCGAAGCACTCTCTGCTCCCCCGTCCTAGCCAGCTCCTTTGCTTTGCCACCCTCCCACTGCCCATCCCTTCCAAGCTCCTCACTTGGCAGTCTCCTTCCCACCCCTCAGGTCTCTGCTTCAATATCACCTCCTCCAGGAGGCCCTCCTTGACTACTCTACCTCAGTAGGCAACTCCCTAACTAGCACTGCAACATCTGTTTCCTTCCTAGCACTTAGAACAAAACTGAGGTTACATCTTGCCTTACTTATTTATTATCTGGCTCCTTTATTAGTTCCAAGTTCCATGACAGTAAGAAATTTGTCTACTCTGTTCACCTCTGTGAATTAATACCAAATACAATGCCTGGTACATAATCAGTGCTTCATAAAGATCTCTTGAAGGAGGGAATGGCACACCCCATGCAGGTGTTAAGCATAAAAGTGTTACAATTAATGAACCGATATTGACACATTATTGGCATTGTTTTCTAAGTATTATTTTTCAATTCTTCATTGCTTGGATTCTCAAGTCTCTTTGGTTTCTCCCTCCATTTCATTTTGCAACCCCCCCCCCCAACCCCCTGTGATTTTTTCTTAAGGAAACTGGGTTGTTTGCCCTGTAGATTTTCTCACAGTTTGATCTCATTGATTGTATCCACAAGGTACTAATTAGCATGCTCCTCTATCCCTTGTATTGCCTGTAAATTGTAGCTTGATGTAAAAGCTTGATCAGATTCAGATTTTTCTTTTTTTAAAGAAAACTCCTTCATGGGAATTCCCTGGCGGTCCAGTGGTTAGGACTTGGCGCTTTCACTGCCATGGCCGGGGTTCAATCCATGGTCGGGGAATGAAGATCCCACAAGTCACACAGCACCAACAAAAAACAGAAAAAGAAAAAAGAAAGAAAGAAAAAGAAAGAAAGAGAGTAAAAAAAAAAAAGAAAACTCCTTCATGATAGTGCTGTGTACTTCCATCAGGAGATAACATGATGTTTGGTTGTCTCTCTTTTTGTAATGTCAGCAACCACTGATGGTCAATGCCCAGATCCATTATTCCATTAAGAGGTATAAAAGAATGATACTTGAATTCAGTATCTTTTCTTCATTTATGAACTGAAAATCTGCTATAAAAATATACTTCCCATTGTCTGTGACTTGGTTATCCTGAGGTACAAGTCAGATAGGAAAGGCAGGATAAGAACTTTTCCTTTACTTACCAGTATTCAATTCATACCAGTGGTTTCTTAGTATCTTCCAAGGTGATAAATGAATTTTAAAAATCATTATAACCAAATGGATTTAAACATATTTGATGTTTACAATCGACTGTAGCTAATATTCTCACTGATACTTGTATGTCTCATCTTTGACCAGTAGAGTTCATTCAGGCTGACTCCTATAATTAGTTTCCTAACGCTGCCGTAGCAAATTACTACAAACTTGGTGGCTTAAAATGGAAATGTATTCTCTCACAGAAGTCCAAAGGGAAGGGTTGGCAGGGTTGGAAATGTGGAAAGGAACTTCTAGTCCCACATCTAAGGCTGAATGGAAAATTCTTCTGGTCTTCCTTCTGCTAATGGGAGCTCCAGCATAGACATTACCCTTTCCTGCTTCCCAGTTCCTGAACGTCAGCATCCAGACAATGGTTATTTGTTTCTGCAGACTGAGAACGCTCCATACATTTCAGGAGACACATAAAAGCCCAAAGGATTTTCAATGAGCCTGGTAACACTCCTGAGAGTGGAATCACTGGTTGTGACTCATCACCACTAAGGCTGGGGCCTACCACCGCTATGACTGTAACTGCTTTTAGCATGTGGGAGACAGGGCTACTGACCTATTTTTAAGAGGGCACGTCATGCTCTTCGAGTAGCTTACACAGCTCTGGGGAGGAGACCAGTCATACTTTCCTGCCTGGTCTCCTTTTCACAAGGTCCTTGTGCAAGGGGGCTGCCTGGGCCGTCCCCTGGCTGGACCTCGAGTTTTCCCCTGTGGGAGACCAGCTGTTCTGCCCAAGGTTGTGTGCGGCCTCGTTGGGGCCCATATTCTTACCCACTGAGCTAAGTGGCCCAGGCGGCTCAGGAAAAGGAGGAGGTGGCGCAAGGGCAGCCCGGGCGGCTCACCTGCTGGGTGGTGGCCAAGCAGTACTCTGCAGTGCTCAGGATGCTGCAGATGAGGCAGAGCTCCTCCAGGGTGAACTTGGCCACTTCTGAGCCCTCCTTTTCCTTGAGGAGGCTGCTGATGGTCAACCCACCGCCGCTGCTTGTGGTTCTGAGAAAAAGGCATAGGGACCAGTCAGGCCAGGACTCCTCATTTGCTTCCTGACCCGGAAACTGCAAGTTGTAAGACAAAGAAACAGGGGAAGGAGAGGCTGGACGTGGCCCAAACAAATCCACACACAATGAGGCCCTTTCCGAGTGACCTGACCTTGACTGTCATTTGTTTAAGTTCTCTGACCATCAGAAATAGGAAGAGATGATCCCAACAGTGAGCCAGGCATCAGTCATATTCACTACAATGACTCTGCTCTGCTGAGCGGCCTCTCTGCTTAGCGTGGAATTTCCTGATCTGTACAGCTCATTCAGAGTCATGTGTAGTGCAAAAGCTGGTTCCCCAGCTGTTTCTCTCAGTTAAGAAAATTCTGCATGGGAGCTTGTCTTTGTGCTTGTGGAGGCGTTCAGAAGTGAATGTTAAGACATGGTTCCTGGCCAAAGGCCTGACTGCCTCAAGAAACAAAAAAGCATGTCATCTCTTCCTACTGATCTAATCATGTGATCACAAAAAATAAAAAAGCAGTTTTTAAAATAACTTCCTACAGTTATAAATAAAATTTCAACTGTGAGAGTCTATTTTTTAAGAAGACAGAAATCAATGATATTTACCTTAAAAATAAGAGAAATTTTTCCTTTAAAACACACACACACACACACACACACACATCCCTAAACTTCCCAGTCTTAGGTAATCAAAGATTTGAAAACATCTTAATTTCTAGTACTTATAAGGGTGTGAGGACACTGGCTGTCTCTTCCACTACGGGTTAGGAGCTTTAAGTTGTACAACTTTTTTGGAGGTATTTTTCAGGAGCTTAAAAAAACGTTCAGACTCTTTGACCCAGTAGTTCTACTTCTGTTCAAGGATGCTCTTCTGAATGTTATTTAAAATACCAAAATACTGAACCCAACATAAATGGTCAATTAAGAGAATGATCAATAAGAAATCTCAGAAGTTAGCTGAGGGTCTTCTGTATGTGGGAACATCATAAAAAGTGCCTTGATGGGGCTTCCCTGGTGGCGCAGTGGTTAAGAACCCGCCTGCCAATGCAGGAGACACAGGTTTGAGCCCTGATCCGGGAAGACCCCACATGCCGCGGAGCAACTAAGCCCGTGCGCCACAACTGCTGAGCCTGTGCTCTAGAGCCGGTAAGCCACAACTACTGAAGCCCATGCGCCTAGAGCCCGTGCTTCGCAACAAGAGAAGCCACCGCAATGAGAAGCCCGCGCACCACAATGAAGAGCAGCCCCCGCTTGCCGCAGCTAGAGAAAAGCCCGCGCACAGCAACAAAGACCCAATGTGGCCATACATACATATATACATACATACATACAAAGAATAAATCTGGAAAAAAAAAAAGTGTCTTGATGAATATTTTTACTGTGCTGACTGTTCTCTGCTCTTCTCTTCCCTTTTCACCACTTGGGAGACTGACCTCTGCAGACTTATCACCCAGGCTCCCCAGCCCCCTGGCCTCCTGTTGGTTTCAGCCATCAGCAGAGGCTGTAGGGAGTCAGGGAGGTTGAGGAGAGAGAAGTCGGAGTAACAACTAGCCTTCCTGCTCCCTCTGCTTCAGTGTGGTCCTGGCAGTGACCGTGGCCCCTATGACTACAGTTTCTGTTAGGCAGCCCTTTGTCCACAGCCCTAGCTGTCATGTGAGTTTTAAAGTAGTAACAATTACCCACTAGAGTTTGGATGCTTCAGAATCCTCCCTTGGTTCCTTTCACCTGCCCCCATTTCTGTAAACAGTGGCTTTAGTAATAATATCCCAGCTGAGTACCATTTGTTTCCTGCTGTGACACTGACTAATACACACGGCAAAATGCTCACATCATGACAAAGCAGGGTATAAAACTGTAAGCACTACAGTCCAGTCCTGTTAAACAAATAAGCAGAAGCATTCAGTCACACACATTACACATATAAAGAAAGAACAGAAAAATGTATACTGAAAAGTTAAACCTGTTTTCACTGGGTGGTGATTTTTATCTTCATCTTTGTGCTTTTCTGTGTTTTACAAACTATAACAAACTTGCAGTATTTTGAAAATCAGGATAAAAGTTATCAAAAATTAAAAAATAATGTTTATCATATTCAAAGAAATTCTCATGTGTAAAACATGTCTGTTACTTCAAATCTCTTGTAGAGCGAAGGGATTTTATTTTTCTTTCCTCCCAATTATGTAAAACTCCTATATATGACACATTCTAGTGACAGTGACAGAAACTAAATTCCAAACTGTTGAATTTAGCTATGGGAGTGATTTATAATTACTGGACTCTGAAGCATTGCTTCAGATCATATTCTATTACAACAGAAATTGCTATATAACCAAAATATCTCTAAAACTCTAGTCGAACAATCCATTTATTTCAAGTAATAAGCTATATAACAATATTTTAATGCCCCAGAATAACAGAGTGAAGTCGCTATAATTAGGAGCTATGCTATGCAACCACCTTTCCCCAAATCCTACCACATCTTTAAACATGAGACTCAACCCAGGAGAGTAAGATACACACACCATAAGAGAGACTTTGGCCTGAATGAAACTGCCCTTGCTGTTCAAAAGTCATTGCTACCACCACCCCACTTCTTTTGCCAAGTACCTATCACTGAATCCATGTAAACTAAGCACATCTATAATGGGACTGACTCCCCTGAGTCCACCGTGGCAGGATCTGACCTATGCTAGTGGCCAGCGTGGCAGTACTGATTTCCTCTGGCGGTCCTGACCAGCTGTGGAATCCCATTTGAGAGGAAACAGTCTCAGACCCTTGGAAACTCCATAAGGGTGTTTTCCTCCCTGATACTCTTGGCAGTTTAGCGAACAGCTTCAGGGTGGATTTCCTTAAAGATTTCCACACTTAGGTATATTCAGAATCTCACTTCTCCGGTCAGACCAGGAAGAACAGGACTCACTTGGGCAGGTTGCCAGAGAGGATTTTCCAGGCGTACTCTCGGAGGTACTTCTGGAAAATAGTGGTCAGGGCGATCATCGGCTCCCCGGTACTGAGCTGCGAGCACTGCACCATGCACTTCTTGTAGTAGACAAAGAGGTCGGCGCAGCTGGGGAGCACGGCGCCCCCCTCGTCCGTGTTGGGTTTAGGTGGCCCCTGGGCTTTGAAATCGGCCACAAACCGATCTATCAGCTCCCCAAGGTTTCTGGGAGGAAGAAAACAGGAAACGTTATTTTATTTCAAGAAAGAGAAAACAAACATGCTTAACTGCCACAAGGCGATCACTCCTCATGGTTTTTACATTTACAATTGGACCCGTTTCAGTAAGTCGGACAGAGAAAGACAAATATTAGATGATATCACTTATATGTGGAATCTAGAAAACAATACAAATGAATCTATTTACAAAACAGAAAGACTCGCAAAAATAGAAAACAAACGTTTGGTTACCAAAGGGGTAAAAGGGGGGAGATAAATTAGGAGTATGGGATTAACAGATACACACTACCATATATGAAACAGATAAGCAACAAGGATTTACTGTGTAACATGGGGAACAATGTTCAATATCTTGTAATAACTTATAATGGAAAATAATCTGAAAAAAATAACTGAATCGCTTTGCTATATACCGGAAACTAACACAATACTGTAAATCAACTGTACCTCAATAAAAAGTAATTAACTTAAAACATTTTTAGAACCTGGATCCATTTTTATCAATATCATCATTAACTACCACCACCACTCCTACAATAACAGCAGTGATAAAATTTGGCATTTGTGTGCTGTTTTATACTTTTCAAGGCACTTCATGATCGCATTTGACCCCAAACCCCTGGGAGAAAGATAAGGTGTTATTGGACCCTCTAAGAGATGAAAAAAATAAGGCCCAGAAAGTTTGTCACACGATTTAGTGGCAGAGCTGAGCCTAGAATCTACCACTTAAGTGTGTGCACTGGTCCTACTACCATATTAGTACCAGCGCCCCTTTCCACAAATGAAAACCCTAAATAATGACAGTGTTCACTTTCTGAACACTTATGGTGTGCCAGGCACCATGTCAGCTCTTTGTAAGAGTCTTTATAAGTGAACTTCACTTAATCTTCACAATAACCTTATGACGTAGGGACTAAAACTATCCTCCTTTTCAAAAAGCGAGGTGCAGAAAATTAAAAGACCTCGTCCAAAGTCATACGGCCAGAGAGTGGAGGAGCCAGGATTAAAACCCAGGCAGCCTGGCTCTAAACCTCATGCTTTTACCCACTCTACCCTAGTACCTCCTCAAACACAAAAAGGTTATGATGTCAGCAAATATTTAGATATCATTAACCTAAAGGTACCCAGCAGACAGACAACTAAACAAAGAGAAACTGTAAAGAAACAGTCTAACGCTTTCTTTCTCCTTTAATGCAGTGTCTTCTGAACAGCTTCCAAAATCAAAGGTGTAAGAAATCTTGGGAGGAGAGAAAATACTGAGCTGCTCCAGGCTTGCCCCAGGTCACGGTGGTGATGATGGTTGCAACTTTCTCCCATTTCCCATTCAAACATCACTGAATTTGCCTCAGTCACACTGAGTCATCACTGCTCACATCCAGCAGGGCTATATTAATTGGTCCCTGCACAGTTGTGCTCTATGAAAAATGGGGGAGAGGAGGGTGTTCCCACCCCTCTTAACATTTTGCATCTTTTTAGTTGCTGTCTAAGGCTACAGGAATCCAGCTGTGTGGTTTTGTTTTTGTTTTTTTTTTTGTATTTATGTAACAGTCAAGAAGAAAAAGACAAGAACCACATGCAGTATTAGTGAGTAGGAACAGGAGAAAATTGACCTTTTACTCAGGAGCTTTTCTTATTGAAAGTTTATTACATCCAGATACAGCCACTGTGCCCTCAAAGAACTTAAGGCCTAGGACAGTCCATTGTGATGGTGGTGACGGTTAGCAAGCAGAGAAGGAGCGAGTTAGTTGACCTCGGAAAGCTCCAGCGTGTCCACCCTCCTTCCTCACACCCTCCTCTTGTCTCACCTTTCCATTTAATTTCCCACGTCTCCTCCACAGCGGCCCCATGCTCCAGCCAGACTCCCCTCAGCTGCCGCCCTGCTCCATCTCTATCCCCGACTCTGTGCATCTGCCTGGATGTGTCCCCTGGTGACTCTCCCGTCACCACCTGTCCACTCACCCTCCCAGCTCAGCTCAGGGGGCACCTAGATAACTCCTACTCACACCCATCCTCTATCTCAATTGCAACTCTGTCATCTGTAGCACACTGACGACTATTTTTTTTTTAACACTTCATTACACAGTGTGGGCGTGTCGGCTATTCAGGAAACATGCTGACCTTCTCCCATCCTGGGCCCGTGGTAGGCCATGCTCATCAGGAACGGCTGTGTCTTTCTCACTGACCTCCAGGGTAATTTCAGAAGGCTTCCTGCGACAGCACTGTAGCCAGTCACTTCTTATGAGCTGAAGTTGGCAGAGAAGGTGAAAGCTGCTCGCTTGATAGTGGTAGAATCTTCTTCTCTGTGTCACGTATGTTATCGTGAGATTCTTGAGAGCAGGGATAACGTCTATGCTACTTCTGCTCCCCCGAGGCCCGGCCCTCAAGCTTCTGTGTGCAGCTAAGCTCCCAGTTACGTTGGTGCCCCATACGTACTCGGCGGATCAACCTCCACGTTTTGTTCCTAAGGGATGGGGGTGGAAGGGTCGGGGCTGGTGCACTGGAGGAGAGAACGGAACAGCAGGGGAGGGCTCCTCTCGAGTCTTCCTATGAGAGACTCTAACCTCCAAATCCACAGTGCCAACCAAAACAGGGGCGAGCGCTCCGAGGTAGTTTTGCCTGAACCACTCCTCTAATGCGGCTGGAAGCTGAAGCCAGGATGCTTCCTCACCTACCTCCTATTTCGGCGCCAAGCTGATGAGTAAGACTGTAAACTAACAGTGACCATAGAACAGAGACAAAATTTCCTCCTTGGAAAAAAAAAACACTAAAGATCTTCCATATTTTGCAGAATGTCTCTTGGGTTACTGTTGACACTGTTCTCTGGTGTGAACGAGAAATAGACCAGAGTGACCCACCCCTCCCCACTTCCATCTTGCGCTCTTCATCAGCCTGCTTCTATGCCACACGAGACACTAGACAACGAGTAATCAAATAGCTCCACAGAAGAGAAGAGGACAAGTCACCCGGATGGGAACGGGTAAAGTTCATGAGTTTGCAAAGGGGAGGCAATCCAATCAAATGTGGATGGAGCACTTCGTATGCACAAGGCGCTGCGGGCAGCAAGTATAAGATATAAATGAGTCCAACAACAAAGAAAGCAAAGGTTACCATTTCTTCCAGGCACCAAACACTACCCTGAGTTTCGGCAGGATCTTATAGGAAGGACTACTGGAGAAAGGAACACGGGGCATGCTGACCTGTTGAATGGAATCACAGGGATGCGCCTTTTATACCCTAAAGCAATTACAATCAAGTAAGAGTTTAAAAAGGGTCAGGTCCTAGGGCTTCCCTGGTGGCGCAGTGGTTGAGAGTCCGCCTGCCGATGCAGGGGACACGGGTTCGTGCCCCGGTCCGGGAAGATCCCACATGCCGCGGAGCGGCTGGACCCGTGAGCCATGGCCCCTGAGCCTGCGCGTCCTGAGCCTGTGCTCTGCAACTGGAGAGACCACAACGGTGAGAGGCCTGCGTACCGCAAAAAAATAAAATAAAATAAAATAAAAAAGTAGAAAGGGTCAAGTCCTGATTACAGTTCTGCGGGGGGTAAAGACACAGCATCTGTCCATTAGAGGCTGTGACCTATTGGGGGAGATAGGACCTTCATGTTTATGATCTTTAGATCTCAAGATGGCAACAAAATGCTAGTTTTGCAGTACAGACAATATGACCAATTTGTTTTAGACAAAGGAAATAACAGAGGAAACTGGAGAGAAAATTCCACAGCAGATTCAGGCAAGAGAATAAAGGCCTGGAGTCAGAAGTAAGTATAGGATACGGTGCGAGGTGGAGAGCACGGGTAGGAGAGGAGCTGGCTGACGCAGAAGGACACAGACTGAGAAAAGTCTGACCTGCAGCTAGGTTCGTACACACCTCTGAATTCCCACAGCAAACTGTTCATACTCTTACCCCTCCATGCTGTGTTCCAAAAACTTTTTTTGGTCTCTCTCTCACACTAGGCTACATGCCTATAAACTAGGCACTGCACTGGCTACATTATAAATACAATCTCACTTAATCCTCACAACAGCCCTGAGCAGAAGGCATTAGTATCCCTGTTTTATAAATGAAGAAACTGAGGCTGAGAAAAATAAGATAACCTGCCCTAGGCCACAGAATTTATCAGAGCTGGAATTCGAACTGGGGCCTGTCTGACTCCAAAGCCAAGCTCTATCCACTATCCGATGCTTTGATTCCAAAACTCTAAAGCGCTATACAGATACATGGTATTACGATTATTGCTGCGATTCACTTTCTCTGCAGCTTACGGAAACGTGTCATGGATGCAGATGGTGTCTTTTATCCTCTTCCCTGTAGCTTGAGCTTTTAACCCAAGAACTGTGTAAGCATTTTGGGGGCACCATGTGAAATACTGCTGGGAGTTCCACTGACACATAAAACGACCTAGGAATAAAGACTACTGCAGAGCGGTGGCAGCAGAGGGGGAGATTAAAACACGGTGAGAAGGAAAACCACACTGCACACCAAGCTTAGCTATGGATGACCAAGGCCATTTCTTCTGGTGGGTCTGCAGCTGACATTCACAGAAACAGTATTCTAACTGGAAAGTACAGGAGTGATGGCTCTGGCGGAGGAAGATGGTAGTCAGAAAAAGTGGGCAAGGAGGTGAGTACGGGCAAAGCGGCTTAAGACCCCCAGGAAGTTAGAGGACTTGTTCATCCAAGGATGCGCCGACTAACAGGCACCCCTACCCCTTCCCTGTGGTTGGGGCAGAGGAACTGGCTCTGGTGTGGCCAGCAGGGAGCCAAGCTCTGGCTTGAGCACACCTGGGAGATGGGTTCCACACAGGTAAATGGAGCAGGTAAATACATGGAGGATCCTGGGAACCAAGCTTCTCACTGCTGTAGAAGGTAGTTACAGACATGGGACAGGGGACACTCCAGTAAACCGTGAGGTTAGGTTAGAATTGGAGTTACTGGCATAGACTCACAGGTTTTAATATATAAATAGGTATAAAAGTAGACAGATATG